ACACACACACACACAAACACACACACACACATGAACACACACACAGTAACACACATATCTAAATATACCCTCGTCAACAACACAAGAAACTCCTCTTTCAGCAGTTTCCCCTCCTAACCTTTTTGCACCATCTTCCCAATCCGTCCCCTCAGTCAAAAGCAAACACGAAGTCAAATATTGCTGACGCTGTGTTTACCAATAGGAAATGTTTCCGACCGCTTATCTCTCAACATGTCATCCAATTCAAACTTTTTTGAGCTGCACACTTGATGCATTATGTCGCCTTTAAATATTAACTGTAAAAGAACTGGATACACCATAAAACGTATTATTGTGATTGGTTGGCGGGTGCTCTGGTGCGGTCTGCTCCTTCTTTCCTATCAAACATCCTTCGTCCTGGTCTCTCCTCTTTCTTTTTTTGTGTTTGTTACTCACTTGTAACAGCTCTAATCTTTGGCACTTATATGACCTTATTGTGTTGCAAGTGCCGTAAAACTCTTACTAAAACTAAATAAGAACGTATCATTAAGACCAACGCTGCCGATCTGGACGATATTGCCCACTAGTGGGCTGGGCGATTTGGTAATTAGTGGGATGGGCGTATTGGGTTCGTCCTGGTAGTGATATCTATGTCGTTTGATAATGCACGTAGGTGGGTGGTACGAAAATTTCAGTATCGTCAATTTGGCAAAAGTGGGCGCCGGCAATAAAAATGTTGACAAAACACTGATTAAGACAGTGACACTATAACTAATTTAATTAGAGCATCGACATTTTAGGCGTACTTTCGATTTTAGAAGCGTATTGCTCTGATACATTTTATCTATGACATCATACTTATCCTAATATCCGTCGGTCAGCGATTCCATTTGTCTACAAGATACCTATGCATACTACGTAGTACTGGCCTACCCTAAGAGCAGCGGAAAATGACTCAGAAGGAAAAAGGGTGCAGCTGTAGAGGAAATACTTATCATAAACACACCCCACCAAATATCGTATAACTACATTTAGTTCTTTTTAAGGACTCATTTTTTATATTAATATTATATAGATCTACACCTAAATAAAATAACATACGATAATGATGATACTAAAATCGTTTCCATATAATATAATATATGTTAAGTGTTATTCATGTATGTGTGCGCGTGCGCTTGCGTGTGTGAGTGTGCGCGTGTATGTGTGTGTGTGTGTGTGTA